TATCGACTATTGTAAAACAATTATTCCTTCAGATTCTCCACGTAAATACGCACTACGAAGATATAATCATATTAGCACATTATCATGTTCCCCGTGTAATTCCAGTGTAATGCAAAATCAATAATGTTTTCTCAAATATTACTTGCAATCAACAGGTACACTCGATTTTTTTTCAAGTGATACTAATGATCAACAGGCTATGGAATTTCCATTTGGAACATTATCATCCGTTAAGAACATGACATTTCCATTTCTCGCTCTTAACGAACAATACATTTGATGTAGATTTAGGACTCCCCAAGGGCAACGAGTCAGTAAGAGCTTACACTGGCACCTGCCAGCTGTCCCAGGCAAAAATGGCTCAAAATGACGCTTGCCGTAGTTCATCAGATTACTCTGTGTCCCCAGCCGGCAATTAAGGTGTATTTCGGTAGAAGATGTCTTATCGTTCTGAAAAGAAAGGAGCAATTTATTTGTTTCTTACAATCTCACGCGATGCATTGTTCATCCGTTCCAACTTCTTCCTTTCGCAAAAGACCCTAGTTTTCCGCACACAATGCTATCTTACCAGTGAGGTAATTCCATATGAAATTCTAACTCAAATTTAGTAAGGAAAATAAATAGTTGCAGCCCTAGTAAACTAATAACACCACTAATAATTTCAATCTGTACCGAGACTCTAGAAAAATTGTCTATAATTAAATCAAATAAATTCTCAGCTTCGTATGTAGACACAACAAACGTTTAAGTATATTCACGAGTTGGTGGGTTAAAGTAAGTTTGCAGAAAAAACTCCCACTGATATCAACTCAACCCAAAGAATATATAACTTATTTTATCGAAATACCTGTAAATATTGCAAATGTTTGTAATAAATTGTTTTCTAAATAAATAATAATGAAGTTCATAAAGTAATGTGGGGAAGTAACCGATCACACTGGGTAAACTCATGAATTTACTCTTACATAAGGCTCGATTTATAAGTTGTTATTAATAGAACTATACTTTCTGATTTGTACCATTTGTTGACGCTTTGCTAAACAATGTTCTTTTTATTTATTGGGAGTTGTCTACTTTCTAAGTAATGTAGTTTAAACATTATATAGTACATCAGTTATTGAAAGCATTCGCAGTACTTTATATTGCATTTCTTCTCTCCCCGCCACAAATCCTACTATTCCATTCCAAGCTTTTCTCACATTTCGTTACCATGTGTGCCTGGGAATACTCAGACATCTCAGAGGTTATGCAGCGAGTAGCAAGTTACGATACAAACACAGAACGCAACTATGTACTTTCCAAAGAAGATATTTTTAGACTCTCACTGGTAAAAGCGTTTCTTACGTGCGTAGGGTGCTAAAATTTCAATGTTTAGCCCTAGTGCTAAACGTGAGACGATGTTCAAGTGTTCTGATAAATCTGTGAATGCAACAAAGAAAACAAAATACTTTCGTCTGACCGCATCAGCTACTACTGATCTTAATGTATCATTGATTTGAATGCTTGAATTAAAATAAAATGAAAGTCAATAAGACTGTCTAAAAATGGTGTATGACATGTGGTAAAAGTGAATTTATTTGACTTGTATGATTACACCACTGGGTCTATCGACTTCGTACCACAACCTTTCCTATTTGAAAACCAAAATATCACTTTTGACACTTGTATGATAAATATAAAATATTCAAATATAATTGTCATTCAATGTTTTTTTTTCTCCAACCTCGTAGACTTTTTGAATCAATTTTATATATTGTAAAGTATTCTAGTTTCATCAGATATGTTATTTAAACAAAAACTTTTCTGGGTAAATGAGTTATAAAACTACCCTTGCCATCACTACGTATACTCTCTCCACAGTAGTTAAACGTTTCACCCCAAAACCTACTCTCCTGTTCCGATGACAACTGTCAACTCCCACCACGCAAATAACACGCAATGCATGTGGCACTTCTACATCTCCTTCTCTCATTTCGTAAGCACGCGCGCACGAGAACCCCACAGACAATCCCGTGGTTATGCAGCGAGCGGCATAATTACGTTAAAAACAACGCCGGAGCCCGCATGCACGGAAATTACAGGTAAAGCCCGGCGTCGTGTAAACGTGTGCTCCCGACACTCGGCCGCTTGGGGCGCGCCCGGCGCCGTGCGGCGCGCAGTGTAATGGGCGGAAGCTGCACTCCATTATGTCTTTGCGTCGGGTAAGACACTTTAATTACAGTACTTACGGCGCATGCGCAACAGCGTGTGGGGCCCGCGCCGGGCCGAGGATGAGGATGAGGATGAGGATGAGGATGAGGATGAGGATGAGGATGAGGACGGGGACGGGGACGGCGGAGAGGAAGGAGGCGGGGACAACGGTAACGAGGATCCGATGTGAATGCCGGGCGGGAGGCGTGATCGGAAGGGGTGAGCGGTAAGGTAAGACAAGGCTCGATGGGAGAGGAACTGGCGTCAAGGCGATGCGGGGAGGTTGGAGCGTGTGGAAGAGAATGAAACTGCAGGGAAGTAGGAGGACGTTTGTAGGAGGAAATGCTGATCATTAGCGACCGACCGATGACTTGCACCTCTCCTGGTCTGGTGTAGTGTGTAAAATGATTGTTGCAACCCTCAGAAATGATGAATATGTCGTAAAAGGGGTGGTGGGAAATGTGTATTGTCATTGTGAATATTTATAGAAGAAATCAGGTATTGGAAAGTAACTGTAAAAAATAATAAAATTACTAAGTGTTGCAGCTGGGCGCTGATGAAATAGCTAGTCATTGACGTGTCAATTGTGATTAACGAAATCTGATTATATCTGGATATATGATTGGATGTGTTTGTCCCATGTACCTCGTAACGTAACGAATAATTTCGATACGAAACTTCGAACGCCGTAGGAAAAACTTATCTTCGCGATTGAAAATATTTCAAATTTGTTTTTTCTTCTTACAAATTTTGGATGAATCTCAAAACGCATTTAAGTATTAAGGTATTGTAGAGCGCGGTGGAGGGGGGCGGTGCGAGGCGGTGCGAGGCAAGGCGGAGCGGAGCGGGGCGGAGCGGGGCGGAGCGGAGCGGAGCGGAGCGGAGCGGAGCGGGGCGGGGCAGGGCGGGGCGGAGCAGTATCAGTAACTTGCTTCCATTTTACACTACAGATAGAATTCTTTATGTTTGTCTCCGAGAGATGATTTTGTAATGTGAAGATTTTTGAGACCAACACCGGTTTACTTTCTTTTCTTGTCTCACAGAGTATCGTGAGTTTTCAATTCATTATCCAGACAATAACTCTATACTTTCTTTTACAAGACGATCAGTTCGAATTACAAGAACAACAGTATCAAATCAGCACTTGTTAGAAGTGAACGACGATATAAAAGGAATTTTACGTGAAGTCTGTACAGCAATATTGAAACGTTTATTATTTATGACAAAGAATTTGCATAAAACGTTTTACATTAACGTTCGTATGGATTGTTGCCTTGGTTATTGTGAGTAGATTCTTACTTTTGTTATTGAAAGCGCTTAATGGATGAGTGCATCATAACAATACGCGTTTTGTCTTTCATATTCTAATTACAACCATAATTCTGCCAATGTGTTTTGTGACGTGTCGGAAACAAAGAAAAGTATTACAAAATGAACTTACTTATGTTCGGTTAAAGAATAACTAGGCGCATAAAATATTTTACTGTACGTGGAAGTATTGACATGGCGTGAAATGAATGACAAAACGCAGACAAATATTACAGATTAATTTGGAAACTTGCAATTTTAATATATATGTTAAACCATTGCTGTTTTTATCAATAAATGTGAACATTTATGCCATTCTAGAACAAAATCGCAAAATTTCTTCCCTTATTTTTGTAGCGTAAGATAGACGTACCTTACTACTTTAAGAAATAACTCTGAATATTCAAGAATTAATGCATCTCTATTGGTAGAGACCAGATCATTGAGAAACTACGCTCTTGATTTTTTAATAAGATAATGCAGAAGAGGGAACGAGAAGCATGGCTGTATATTCTTCACCTTTTTTGATGTCTGATTGTTTTATTTTTAAAAAGACGCTATGTTCTACCAAGGAAATGGAATTGCTATTGCTTTCGTGTTCGTTATAAAAGTATGTGGTTGCAAACAATGTCCATTGGTAATGGCATCAAAAAAGGAACCTTGAACTTTTATTGACAGTTACAACTCTGTACGTAGTAATTACTTTCCATACAGACTGTATCACAAATGTGTATGAAGTTCGAATACTAATCGTTCTTAAAATAGTCTTCGAATATCATATGGTGATGTTTTTCACTAATTAAGCTCTTCGCTCCGTGCTACGCATTTTTATTTTCAGATATCTAGTCTTCGTAATTTCACCATCATTACCTACGAAATTTGTTAAACCATCGCGTATTTTACGAGAAATACTACAAAGTTCTGTATTCTGATGTTTGAAAAAGAACCAAAACTAAAACATGTAAAAGTATTTTAGAAAATCTATGCCTGGTAATATGTTGTTTGAGATGTGAGTACTTCAGTGGATGACGCAAGTTACTACTTTATGAGTAGTCAATATTCATACCCAAATAAGGCACAGACGAATTACCTCATCAATGATCATACAGGACGTCACACAGAGACCTTTTCAATCACTTTTTTTCACTTTGTAGTTCATTCACTCAATCATTCACAAAATTGATGATTTTCTCATTGTTCTTCTTTGATTTATTCCGTAATATGTCAAACTGTTAATGCTTCCATTCATCAAGAGGTTTATCCTTTCATGCATAATGAGATTCGTCATTAATTTACAATTGTATCCATCCATTCATTCATTCATTCACTCAATAATTCATTTATTTATTCATTCACTCATGTATCGTTCCGCACGTCTATCCATCCATTCGTCTGCCTGTCCATCTATCCATTTTAACTCCATTCATTCATTCATTTCAATAATGCTTTCAACGTAAAGGAAAGCAATATATATTCGTTGGATAATGCTCAAGATTTATATACTAACACCTCCAATATCTCTCCTCAATCTGGAACAAAAAGGAATGTTTTCTCGGTGACATTTTCCAGCTTCATTGGACACTGACTTCCCGATTATGCGCGTCGGGTACCCACTCCGTATGTCCTACATTGGGTCACATATGAACTTGTACACTAGTCACTGACCCACTTGCAGACTCCTCTGTCTGCGGTCACCTGACTCACAAGGATTTCCGTGACAACGCACATACACGAAAGACAAGGGACGACCAACCATGCCCATGCCCTCGAACCCGCGACCCTTCCGACCGAGGCACCGAGTCGGCACACAATCTAGCCATCAAGGTCGGGCCTAAAACGGCAATGAAGTCCAGAAAGCATTTACTCGGTGGGCTCGCTGCTCCTCAGCCGCCTGCAAGGGCAGTGCCTTGCGAGGAGTCAATGCTACCGTACGCATGGCTGCCCTCGCGCCGAAGAAACGCGTCGCTTCGGGCACGCCCACCCGTCCACTTCCGCCCGCCGCATCTCCGCCCAACCACTCTCCTCCGCCCCCCCAACCGATGTCGATACCACCGCGGCCGTGCCACTGCGGGCCGGGGCGTGTGACGCGGCTCTCACGCCACATGGAGTGCCAGCTGAAGCGATCGAGAAGCGCAGGACAGCCCAATCAACTTGCCCACCAATTCTCACTGGTGTCATTCGTCTGGAATGGAACCCCCTCGCTCTGCGATTTGAGGTCGATTTTCGAATAAATTACTACAAGAAAGTATTCGTATTCCAATCAGAATACTGAGATCAGTAGTGATCAGTAGTATCGATAAAGGACGCGGTTGAAATTCTGCTACTTGGCATGGATGTATTTGTGATCGTCCCTCCCTGGCATGGATGTTGACCGTAAGTCGTCATTCTAGCACTTTATTACATATTATTATATTCCTGCTCAAGCGAGGCCTTCTTAATGGGATGTTTGCAGTTGGCTATAAGAAGGATTGTTTAACCGTTACATAATTTTATGAAATGTATTGCGACAAAAAGGTTTTCTGAGTCATTTACCGACCTAATCTATGTAACTTTGACTTTGTGACATATAAACTGAGTCAATAATGTCATCATTTGGTATAATCTCAGAATTGTATGCGCTACGGCTGAGCGATATAATTTACAACAATTGTTTTCAGACCTTATTTCAGTGCTTGCACAAGTGGTGCAACGAATTGGAATCGGCGGTAATATTTTGATAACAGAGCAATGGGTTAATATTAACGGAGCCGCGCATCAGAGGGGCTATACACGCCTCATTCGTAGTTTACATAAATGCTCACAACTTATGTTGAAGCATTGTATGTACGCTTTTTGGTAGCTTTCGTAAGGATTTATAACATAGTGTTCAAATACTACAATTTAATATGCGCGGCAGGTCATTACGTTTACTTTCGCTGTCCTGGCATCATCGTTGTTTATACATTCGTTCATCTCTATTGTATTAAGTGAAGAGCAGTGAAAGAATCTATTGACGAAGTGTCCATGTCTTATCAGCAAAATATGAATGTATGTATATGTTGGGTACGTAACTTTATAATGTAGTGAAAGTTTTACTCATGGCCCAAGTTTCTTTGCACAGAAAATAAGCACGTACTTCAGGGATGGCCGTCCATGGGTAGGGGTCGCCGCGTCGGGATATCTTTATAAAAGTATTCAAGAAAGAATCATGAAAACAGTTAATTTAAAATTGATGATAAATAAAAATGTAATAAGAATAGCTGACGTTCAATGTCATAATCAATTGATACTTTCATTGTTATTAAACTAAATTGGATTGTGATTCGATGATGTAGTTGAGTGTCCTTGGGTTTAAATAGAATCTCAAGCGTTTTTGTTTCAGAAACGGGGCTCCAAACTAAATTTAACTTGGAGTCTCTACAGTCAAAACGTCTCAATTACTGTACATAAAATTCGTATAATAGTGGGATTATGACCTTTATTTATATCATCGCAATTTTTATATGACAAAATTATTTAATAAAGTAATAATTTAGTACTTTTACTGTTGAAAACAAACACCTCTGAGTGCATCAACAAAAAAACTCCACAGCATCACTCAATTTCACATACGAGCATTGAACAATATTGTAACAACACATTCTTAACACTAACCTCAAAGTCAACTTTCTTATATGATCCACAGAAGTTCGAAACGTTCGCAACCGAAGAAGCACGTGATCGCCACTAATCCCGTCATCCAATATCGAACGGCGCCTACAACGACTTCATACATGTCACGGGAACGCACATACTTTATGAAAATCACGATTCTCTGGATGCATAATGCAATACCGCAAATAGGAATTTGAAAATTTCGCGATAAATTTGGTATGTCCAGAATTCGCAGCCTGCGTCGGCAGGCCCACGTTGGATGGTATTCCGCTTAATTCAACAATTGCAGCAACGCCTGCACGGAATTGAGCGTTAACACAAGGATTTCTGCGAAGAGCACGTGACATTCACTGATTACGTGCCAACATTGTGATACAACCGTGATGATACCTTCGAGGAACTATGTTTTGTAATTACTTTCTGTATTCAGTACTGATAGTTTTCCTCTTGGCAGGTGAAGTACGTAACCAGCATCTCCTATGCAACCCAAGTTGGTGAGTACCTATTTTAAATGCAATAAAGTCGTTATACAAATGAAATTAACTTTTAAATAAACGATTCAGCTATTGGTGTATCTCCAAGAAAAAATAAAAAAAAGAACATTCAAAAATTTTGAACTGTAAGTTTCCAAACACACATCTGTTCACATGTCACTGTAGTTTATAATACAAAGGAGAAAAGATTAAATTATTGATTGAAACCTTTTAGCTCTCAAGTTTTGAATCATTTATTCCATAAATTTAGTACTAGGGAAAGAACAATAATAAATTCTCAACACACAAAAAATTAAGGAATCCACAATCAAAATTTCTTTTTTTTGTTTTCGTCGTCAGTAGTGAAGCTTAAAACCATAGTAGTGAGCTCATAAATACACATATTAGTTGTTAATTGAATACCTATACTACGTGAACGGATTAATTATTACATTCAATCAATATTCCAATTTATTAAAACAAACAGAACCCATTTCAGACTTCATCACCGAAAGAAAAGTAGTGCAAGGTTGTAGTGCTCTATGACTTGTTGTGTCCTAGAGACTGTGCACTCAACGACGATTGTTCTTGTAATATTTCGTGTTTCTGACACGCAAACGCTCACCTACAAGACGACCGCGGGCTTTCCCTATCCAATATCTACCAGCGCTCCTCAATTCAGGCGGGCAAGATCTAAGTTCCCGAACTGCTCTCGAAATGTAATAGTGCAGTGAGGTCAGTGTAAAGGTGATGTAAGTAGGAGGGAAAGGAGAGAAAAAGAAAGGAAAGGAAAGATTGCGGGCGTCTGTGTAGTGTCGATGAAAAACCACCGATCAGAGCAGCGGCTGTAGAACTTTCTTCCAACCTAGCTACTAGCTTTGTAAAAGTCCTGCCATGTCCATGTCAGACTCAAACATAGAATCTCCCGGTCAGAGGCATTGCAGCGACATCGAATTGATGTCCCGCGCTCTCAAGAGTTTCCTGAACGGGTAAGCTAATGTTTCATATTACTATAGCCTCTCTCCCATAAAAGGGTTGCCCGAAGCTGAAAGCACCTGCTGGCTTCGTTTGTTTGAGGTCAGTCCGTAACGTCAACGCCGCACAAATAGGCAGCGTAACACAAGATGCGAACGTAAGCGAACACTTCTAGAAAACATTTGTCAACAATTACTCGCGCCTCGCCACTTTCCTCCACTGACAGGTTCAAATGCTTCTTGTCAGGTCTACCACGTCTCTCCAGTCAATCTACACGTCTGGTGATAGTAAGATTCAGGGTGAGGCATACTGGGAGGCCAACCAACTGGGACATGATATTGAGCGAATGATTACTGCAGCAGAGCAGAACGTTTAGTGTTTAATAGGTTGAGATCACTCACCACAAATGTACAAGGGTGATTGTAGAATGGCATTTCGAGAAAATAAAAAGGTAAAAATAGACTTCTAATATACGAGGCGTTAAAATTAAAAAGATTGAGCACACGATTTGTCTGGATTTAGGTAATGACTAAACTTGAATAGTCATTGCTTGAAAGGAAATTTAAATTTTTTTTAATACAAATTGCTCAGATATTAGTCTCCAACTGGAAACGCACCAGAGACTTGGTTTATATGGCTCGTTGCTTGCTTTACGTTCATACTTACACGTCTTTGTCTGAATCGAAACTATAAAGTTGAATTGTTTCTATTACGATAGGTGCCGCTTATCGGCTGTACAAGAGAATAATCGATGAATAGTGGAATGTGAGAACAACGCAGGGGCAACGAACTCGCATTGAACGAACGCCAAATATTGTTTAAATGTGTGTAATTGAATAGAGTGCCAGCGTATATCTCAACGCG